GGACAATCCATAGAAAAGCCGCACCTGACTAAAAGCCGCAGGGTTCAAAGCTTGTGCAAAAAGTAGCGGCTTATAGCCCGACAATTACGGTACTTATAAACTCATTTGATTGAAAAAAAAATTGTAATTAATAAAATATTTGCGAATTTTTCCAAAATGTTAAGTATCTGTTAAAAAATAAACATTAACAATAATTTTAGTAATCCTAGCAAAACATCTGTCTAATATCTAACAATAAAAAAGTAAATGGACTGGTTCTTATATACAACTTTTCTACTCTCCTGGAGCACTCAAAGCGCTCTATAAAACATGTCGCATTCACCCCATACACACAAGCACTATTATCTATACGGTGAGTGCTTTCTAACTATCATTCATGCTCCAATGGATGCATTGGAGAACAACTCGGGGTTAGTATCTTGCCCAAGGATATTTGGCATGCAAACTGGGGGAGGCAGGGATCAAACCACCAACCTCCCAATCAGCAGCTGACCTGCTCTACCTCCTGAGCTAAGGCCACCCCGCAATGGATTGATTGGTATATAGTGCTTTTCTACTCTCCCGGAGTACTCAAAGCGCTGTATACTAATCAACATTCACACTCATTCACACTCCAATGAATGCAATGGATCTTGCCCAAGTCCCAAAAAATTCTGTAAAAAACTTGTTAAAAACTAAACACAGGGAGATGTTTTCTTGTCTTTTGTACATTGTGACCAACATTCAGACTCAATGTGATCAAAACTTAAGCCACAATCTCATTGGCTGTTTGTGTTTGACTTGTATCGCGGTGAGCTCTGACCTGCTGATGCCTTTGTAGACCGAGGCAAAGGTTCCTTCACCCAGTTTCTCCAGACTCAGGTACGAGTGTGCTGCCCCAAACTCCAGACCTGCTTTCTGATCACAGCACACACACTAAATGTCACACAAGCATCACACCGCCTCACATGTTACCTCAAACATCATGTCATACGCGCCCTGACCCAGGTAAGAGGCTCCCGACTGCCCTCCCCCCTCAGTGGGTCACTGTTGCTGCGCCCACGCTGGACTTTCAGCCGACGGGCCTGCAGAGTGTGGAACCAGTGAGACTGAGAGCCAGAGGTGGATGAGTCCGAATCCAGCTGAGACACACAGACGAGACCACATCAGGTACACATAAGGGATTGTTAATACGACCTTTAAAGCTCAAAAGATCATTTGAAACCTCAATACCAGCTTAAGAAAATCCTCAACCAATCAATACTACCTAAAATTGTCTTATCACCACCCGTGGTCACTCATATATACCACTTAACACTTCTACTGTGTCCTGGATTGCTGACTGTCTGTCAGATAGGCCTCAGGTGGTCTGAGGTGGTGGTTGGTAATACTGGAGCTCTAGTCCTGTTTACACCTCAGATTTCCTATACAACAGTGAAACCAGCAGAAGTTATCTGGGACGGCTGGGTGTTTTAAGGGTGGGCAGGAGTCGGACTACAAAGAGCTAGTGAGGAATTCTGTGGAGCGGTCGGGAAGAAATCACCTCCTTCTAAATGTCAGCAAGACAAACAAGACAGTGGTTGACTTCCAGAGGAGAAAAACTGCAACCAAAATCAATATCATGGGTGAGGAGGTGGAAACAGTAGACAGCTGCAGGTAGTTGGATGTTCACCTGAATGACAGACTAGACTGGAGGACTAACAGTGATGCCGTTTACAAGAAGGGGCTGAACAGGCTCTACCTTCTAAAGAAGCTCAGGTCCTTTAATGTGAGCAGCAAGATGTTGGCGATCTTCTACTAGTCTGTGAGAGTTAGTGCCATCCATGTCAGAGAAACCTGCAGGATCAACAAACTGATCCTTAAGGCTGGAAGCACCATTGGTCAGAATTTGGAGACATTTGAGTCAATGAGGGTTAGAGGTCATTGAACAAGCTGCTCTCAATCATGGGCAACCATCACACCTACTTCACACTTCTGAGCTCATTCTCCTTCAGACTGATTCAATCTCGCTTCAGGAAACCGTTCTTGCTGTTTTCTATAACGCTGCACACTGATTCTTCATTCTGTCACAGGTGAACAAACCTGTCAACCATTAGATCATAAACATACTTTGTATTAAACCTTCATGCAGCTGTTTTTCTTATATATTTATTAATGCAATTTGTTCTTCTCTCTTGACCAACGTCAGTCGAACTTTTACTTTTTTAACTAACTTCATTTTTACGTTACTTTATTTTTCATCACTGTTGTAAGTTTATAAATTCCTGCACTCTCTCACAACATAAGATCGTCACCTGTGACCCTTTTATTTAGCTGTGTTATTTGTTGTGTACTGTAGACTGTAATATTGTTACCCTTTATCATTTTGCTGTAAAACAAAAAGTTCTCCTGTGGGATCAATACAGTTAAGAAAAAAAAATAAAGAATGCAATAAAACCAGTCTCGGTCGTTGTGTCCTTGGGCAAGACACTTCACCTACCGCCTACTGGTGATGGCCAGAGGGGCCGATGGCGCGATATGGCAGCCTCGCTTCTGTCAGTCTGCTCCAGGGCAGCTGTGGCTACAACTGTAGCTGCCTTCACCAGTGTGTGAATGTGAGAGTGAATGAATAGTGGAATTGTAAAGCACTTTGAGGGTCTCGAAAAGCACTATATAAATGCAATCCATTATTATCATTATTATGAAGTTACGTCCATTCAAAACATTAATTTAAAAAAAAAATAAAATATATATATATATATTTTTTTTTTTAATTAATGTGTTGAATGGACGTAACATCATATTTTAAATCGAGACAGCATACCCACTGTAAAAAGTTGCAACATGCTATAACAGATTTTACATGTTAAATAGATCACAACAAAAGGATTACTCTGTAAAAAAATAAATAAATAAAAATGATAAATAAAATGAAATAATTGCACTTTTTACAGCGGCTGATGTTTTACCTCAGCAGACGGAAGTGAAGCTGAACTTTTCCTGAAGTTCAACTCCTCCATCTTCACCTCTTCCTCCTCTTCTTCATCTCCTTCATAACCTTTCTCCTCACCATTCTCCTCTTCCTCAGCACAGCAACAGCACCTTCTCACCCACTGCCCGGCCTCCCTCGCCCGCCGGGACAGCTCCTCCATTTTTTCACCTTCTTCTTCCTCTTTTCCGTCTCATATGACTCACATGGTTCCGGACGAGTAAACAAGGTCCCATGACCCTCACTCATCCTTCCTCCTCTTCCTCCCCCTCACTGTGCCCAGAAGGTAAAACAGCAGGTCCATTGATGTGTGTTTGCTGCCCTCTGGTGGACACAAACCATCACTGAAGCTTTTCATGTTAAAAAACAAACAAACAAAAATATCCCAATCAACAACAAGTCAACAAATAAAGACAAATAAAGAATAAAAGAACTCAAAGAAAAATAAATTTGAAGCTTTTAACCATCAACAGAGATCCTCCTGTGTGCTCTAAATGTATCATACAGCAGGTCTGTACATCCAGCTGCTAATAAGAAATACAATAAAAACAGAGAAAAATACAAAAACATACGTTTCTGTTATATCCTGATAGAAGTGATGGATCTGTTTGACCACTGCAATCAATCTACTGAAGTCAAATTCGGTGTCATGGCTGGCAGTCAGTAAAACTGTACAATAAATGTTATCATAATTAGACTGTCATGTACTTAACCTCTGACAGCAGAATCCGGCCAAACAAATTAATTATAGGTATTAATTAGTTATTAATTATAACTGATTATCCAGTTAACTCAGTGACAGTCTCAGGTGATGATTTTAACACTCTGTAATACACCATAATACCTTAAGAAATGTGACTGAAGTTTAATGAGTACACCTCTGTCTCTCCTTGAACTCATCATTAAATGTAATTTGTGGCCATCTGGGGGTGAGAATGTAAATTACAGGAGGTCAGGTTCATGTGGAGCCGGACTATTTATTTTAATTTTACTTTCAGTTTATATTTTTTACATCTCACAGCACTGCATAGACACTTATATAAGCTCTATTAGGTTTACAGTATCTCGTTCAGGTATATTTAGAACACAGAAACATTTAACTCATTCACTGCCATTGACGTCTATAGCCGTCAATGGCAGTGAATGAATCAATGGGTTCATTCACTGCAGTGAATGAGTATATATATGGTATATATATGTATATGTGTATATATATATATATGTATATATATATATATATATATATATATATATATATATATATATAATGTTATATATATTGTATATATGGTATATATGGTATATATATATGTATATATATATATATATATATGGTATATATATGTATATATATATATATATTAATGTATGTATGTGTGTGTGTATGTTCTGATATAATAATGTCCAGACAATACATGAATGCAAGTTTTTAAAAAGGTAACAGTTGTCATCTTCAACAAATTGTCAATATTCAACAAATGTGCATTTTCTTGCGAACAGAAAAACATATTTACATTTTGGCAAATATAGCATCCAGGTTATACAATTTTGTACCTTGGGTTTAAATTAGTATTGTAACGCACTGGGTTACAAGTTAGTTGACTATTGTGTTATCAGTGTTTTGTGTTCAGAATTGCCATCATGGCATAGTTGGACCACACCGGCAGCATGGTGATTTACTGAGTGTCCTTGAATGTGTAGTAGTCTAGAGGCCGGTTGGCCTGTCAATCAGATCAGCTACCAATGACAGAGAGTCTGGAGGAGAGCATGCGTGTGGTTGGCTGAGAGTGTTTGGGGCTCGGGTGTTAGAGAATGTTGTGTGAGTGTGTGCGGAAAAAAGGAGAGAGAGTCAGGGGTTTACTTTGATTCTGGAGAGCACGTTTTTTCCCTGTTGTTTTGGCGTTGGCTACGGCCCACAGTAGCCTGTGTTACTATTCTTAATAAACACCGGTAACCGGAACACTGATTGTCTCTGTCTTCTGTTGGAGGGACACTACAGTATCAAAGCTTGTCACTATATATAAAGGCCGAAAATAAAAAATTTCAGCCAGTGTTATCAGTTCATATTCGTTTGACCTTTCCACTGCATAAGCATAAAAATGGTCATCAAAGAAGCTGACTTTCAGAATCCTCACAAACATGAAGACAGACTCATTAACTGACTGTGGCAAGATATGAATGACTTCACCAAACAAAGGTCTCTTCTTAGTGTCAATACAGAACCAGTTCTATTGTCTCTCTGTATACATCAATACTGTGTGACACAAAAATAGTACTAGTCAGAGAAAGGTCTTGTTCAAGGGTTAGCCTCAAGTTGTCTAACAAGACATCAGCTTTTTTTAGTGACCCCACACTAACTAGATAGGGATTGGAGACATCCATTTTCTTAGCTAGATTATCACTATGCTTATACATGTGTTGAACCTGATGTTTAAAAGCCAATGTTTTTGACACAGTTTTGAAGCTACAAATATGCTAGTCTTTTAGATTGATTGTGCTTGGCTTCAAATCGCATACACCAAAGTTTAGACAGAAAAGCGTCTGGACTTCTTTAAGTTGCTTGAAGACGTTTCACCTCTCATCCGAGAAGCTTCTTCAGTTCTAAGGTCAAATGTTGGGGAGTCCCAGATTTAAACCCAGTGGAAGTAACCCCTCAAGGGGGACAAAAGGACCCCCTGATGATCCTCTACCTAATCACATGAGCCAAGGTGTGAAAACGGGTGTAGGTCACAATCAGCCAGGGTTTCGGATGAGCTCATGTGAAACCTGGCTCCACCCTATCATGCGATTTCCTGAGGTCAGATGGTCCAAACAAAATAAACAGAGGCCCAAACAAAACCATCATCCTTGGATAATGTATCATAAAATAATGTTGCGGAATAAGATTTGTGGCATAAAGGTGTTTGAAAAGAGTATGGTGCTCTACTATCAGTTCTTTAGGAATACTGCAAGCCCTCTCGTAATGACTGGTGCAAAGATGATACTGCATATCTCTCAGTAAAATCAATAAATGCCAATGTTGACTTTTTCGGTCTACACAATCTCCCAACAAAAAGGGCAAGACCAGTAAAACGCACCACATTTGAGATGCTGTCTGTTTTAACGCACTCTCACTGGTTTTCAAGCTCATTATAACACTTGACTTGTTTTTAATGTCTCCATATCCATATTGAAAACTGGAAATCCTCTCATTTAGCTGTTCCAAAGTCATCAACTTCTCCTCATAAATGAAATGGCGAAGCATTAAGTATATCATGCATGATATCAACACTTATGTTTTCTGTTACATGAAAATACTTAAGGCTATTCAGACAGGAGTCCTCTTTCACACCAGTTTTGCTTGGTTCGTTTAAGTATTTGTCAAACTCAAATACACAGTGGGCCAAAATTCAAAACTGGAACAAAGTCGTGGGCTAACATTAATATTTATTGAAAAAAAAATCTTCCTCCAGATATAAGAATGAATCTTTTGTTATGGACTCAAACAAGTTTTGCTGAAAAACTGAATATGGAACAAGCAAAGCTTAATACTAAACGATATATATATTAGCTGTATAATACCAGTAGGCCAGCTCTGATAGTAATTTGGTATGGCTTCGTGGGCCAAATGTAATTAGGCTGCGGGCCAAATTTGGCCCGTGGGCCAGAGTTTGAAACCTATGTTCCTGATAACTGTCTTTGGTAACAAGTATAACGCGTTATACTTGATAACAAGTAACAAGTAACGCGTTACTTAAATGAACCAAGCAAAACTGGTGTGAAAGAGGACTCCTGTCTGAATACAAGTAACACGTTACTGCCCTTCTCTGCTGTTAACACACAAACTGTACCATATAGTTGATGGCTATGACCTTTTAAATCCACATTTAGACCAGAATTTTGTAGAAATCTCAAGTCATCAAGAAGTGGTTGCAAAATCTTGTCAAATCTATATTCCTCCCTGTCAATTGAGTTGAACAAAAGACACAGGTGAATATTTGCAAGTGAGGATTTCCACTCTGGTGGCAAATTCTTCAAGGTAAAATACACAGCTCCTAGCTTATGTATGAAAAGAAAAGAAAACCAAAGAAAAAATGCTTGGACACTACTAGCATAATGGATAGGGAATTATTAAGTGATAAGAACAAGTAATCTGATGTATTGTAATCATTATGAAGCTATAATTTGAGATACAATAAAAGATACAGTAAAAAAAAAAGTTTTTGAATCCATATCGGATCAGTATCATCAATACCACCCTGAATTGTACTTGGTAACTGGAAAACAGAAGTAACCTTTTTTACTTCTGTGCACTTCAACATTTTTAAAGGGAAACATTCACTGCAACAATTTAACAAAGTGCAGTAAGGTGCTATACATACTCTCCACACCTCTCCACCAAATCCCCAATGCAAGTCTTCACAAGAAGCTTCCTTGATGGCACTGACAGGGTACCTGTAGTCTCATACTCCTTAAGAATCTGTGGGGCTTTCCTCTTGAGTAGTGACTTTAGGGGTTGACTTTGTTCTTCTGTGGTAATGGTAGACTGTGTAAAGGCAACACCAGACATTGTACCTCTCTGCAGTAATCTTCAAAGTCATGACAGCAAATTTCCACAGAGCATAGAAGTGTGAGTTTACTCAAAAAGCTGCAGCAGAAGAAGGTGGTTTCTTAATTATCGTGATTATAACGCAATGACTAAAAGAAATTCTGAATAATAATTAAATTGATTTTATCTTATAGTTGCTACTTGGTGAACAAATCTGATCCTGACTAATAGTTAATAACTGTTAAAACACATGTTATGACTTAGAAAACTGGAGAAATGCAAAGTATACCTGATTTTGTCTAATCTCCCCAAGAGAGGTTTTCATTGGTGGCCCTCTGGCTAACAGGAAGATATGGAATCTATCAAAGTCACCATGCTTTGACGGACAAGGTAAGGAGTGACCGACAAGGTAAGGAGTGACCGACAAGGTAAGCGACTCGTGTTGTAACTGACGTCAGACGCCCGAGATTTTGGCGGAAAATTAAAGCAAATGGTTAGTTTAGATTTGAACAAATTCATTTAAGCTTCAGTATTACCAAATACACTTATCAATTGTCTTATAACTAACACTATTTGTCTAAATAATCTCCAACACCCTGGAGAACAACGGGAGAGTTTAGAGACTCTCCAAGATTATATTGATCAGTGCTTTCAGGATCTCGTGATGAAGAA